CCGGCCCGGGACTCCCCCACCCACACCCGGCTCGCCGCCGCCAGATGGCCTGACCACTGCACTGCCCCACACAGGAGCAGGCCTGGGTGGGCCGGGGGCTCCTGGCGTGGCTCAAGACGCCCAGGCACGGCCCAGAGCAGTGAGGGGTCCGGCTGCCGCGCCCACCACCCCTGCCAGCCGGCACAGGGCTCCTACCTGCGGGATGGGAGCACCCGGGGGCGGGAGCTGTGCGGAGGGAATGAGGTCGCCAAGGGGCCGCCCGGCCAGCTCCTCCCCACTGGCGTAGCCGTGCAGCGCGGCAAAGACGCTGTCGCACTCCGTGATGGTGCCCTGTGGGGAGGCGGGGTCGGGGCTCAGCTCCGGGGAGCGGGCACACGCCCAGGCTAGCCATAGCCGGTCAGCGGTCAGCCGGTCAGCAGCAGGCCCAGCAGGAGGCCGGCCGCAGAGGGCTCGCTCTGCACAGGGGTAAGGTGGGAAGAAGGGGAGACGGCCGGGCAGGAGGGGAGCACAGTCAGGAAGGATGGGAGCACAGTTGGGAAGGAGGGGAGAACAGAGGGGGAGGGAAGCACAGCAGGGTGGTGGGGAGCACAGTGGGGAGGATGGGGAGCACAGGGCGGAGGGGAGCACAGCGGGGAGGGTGGGGAGCACAGTCAGGAAGGAGGGGAGCACAGTCGGGAAGGAGGGGAGCACAGCAGGGACGATGGGGAGCACAGAAGGGGAGCACTGCAGGGAGAATGGAGAATACAGCAGGGAGGATGGGGAGCACCGCGGGACCGTGGGGAGCACGGTGGGCAGGAGCCTCTTGTACTCACGTCGCTCTGGAAGGTGACCCAGGCTGAGAGGCGCTCCACAGGCTCCAGCACGACGACACAGCGCAGCCTCCGGGCCTCCTGCCTCAGTCGCTCCATCCACACCGACACGGGCACCTTCTCCCCTCCACGGCTCACCACATCCACCTGTGGGCACAGCAGCTGACCCACCGCCTGCAGCCCCGCCTGACCTCCGAGGGCCGGCGCGCGGCGCTCCCTGGGGCGGAGGCGGCAGGGCACGGGGCTCGGCGGAGGGGGCCGGCGCCCCGGACGCCCTCGCTCCCAGCCGCCGGCTCGGGGACTGCCCGTCGCCGGCCCGACTGCTTCCCCAGGCCCCCTCCCCGGCCTGCGCGCTCACCACGGTGCCGAACGCCACGGCGGCCTGGCCGTCGGCCTCCATGTGCTCCTCGCTGAGGGCCCGCACCACCTCGCAGTCGGGCTTCACGAAGAAGTGCGTGAGGCTCTGGCCGATGAGCCCGCGGCTGCTGTGCCCCAGGAGCCGGCAGGCCCTGTCGTTGGCCACCAGGATCTGTGGGCAGGGGCTCGTCACCGGCCGGCCGGCGGTGGGCGCGGGCCCCGGGGCGCGGGCGGGGCCTACCTCTGTGGTCTTGGCGTCCACGATGAAGATGGCCTTGTTGGGGTTGCACACGGGCGCCGGGAGCAGGGGCACAGGCCTGCCCAGAGACAGGCCCCGCAGCAGGGAGCAGCAGGACGTGCTGACGAAGGAGCCCGCCGAGTCCTCCTGCTCGGCCGTGGGCGCTGAAGGGCAGAGCGGGCGGGAGCCCAGGATGCCCTGGGCGGCCGCGGACGACAGGCAGTAGGAGTTCCACCGGTCTCCTGCGGCGAGGGCGGCGGTCAGGCGGCTCCCAGAGAGCGCCCGCAGGTGGGGGTCAGCTCTGCCCACCGCCCCGTGCCTGTCCAGACAGGCCCCACCGAGGTGCCACCTTCCTCGCTCCTGCCCCGGGAACTCAGCCTGGCACGGAGGGAGACGGGCACCGGCCACAGCCCCGCCCTCACATCTGCCCGCTGACCGGCCCCTCACTGCAGCTGGACACTGCCAGCCAGCCCCCCACTAGCTTGCACAAGGGCTGCAGCCTGCAGGACCCCCTCGCTGCAAGGCCCCCCAGGTGCCCACCCCCTGCTGCCCCGAGGATCCCCGCCTCCCAGCACACACCCACAGACGCCCCTAAGGGGGCATGCAGCCCTGAGCGGGCCCAGGAGTAGCCTGGGCTCCCCGCAAGACGTCCAGCCCGGCCTGACACTAAGCCTTGGGTGCCGGCCAGCAGGGGGGCGGGGACCGGGCACCCACCGGAGAGCGTCATCCTGCTCCGGCACAGCCTGGACAGCCCATTCCTCCGGCTTGGGTGCCTGTGCGCCACCAGGAACTTGCTGTGCTCGGGCCCTGGGGTGGCCGCCAAGCTGAGGCTGTTCAGGGCCTCACCCAGGGCCGGCAGAGGGGGCCCTCCGTCCTCCATGGTGCAGAGCAGAGCGTGGACACCTGCAGAACAGCAGAGCCAAGGGCGGCTAGGCACCGGGCAGCTGGGCCTGAGAGTGCCAGGGAGTCTGCCCAGGGCCAGCAGTCCCACAGCCACAGCCCGGGGAGAGCAGAGGTGCCTGGCCAGGGCCACACCACCCCCACGCCGGCCTGCTACAGCTGGGGGACACCCTCACCCTTGCAATGAGCAGGGAACACCCTCAACCCCTCCCCCCTGCAATGAGCTGGGGACACTCTCAAGCCTGCAATGAGAGGGGGACACCAGAACACCCTCACCCCTGCAATGAGCATGGGACACGGGGACACCCTTACACCAGCCTACAACAGGGCAGGGATCAACACACCCTCACACCCCATTACTTGCAATGAGCAGGGCACACAGGGACGCCCTCACGCCGGCCTGCTACAGGCAGGGGGAGGCTGTGAGCAGCTTTTGCCAGGCATGAGCAGACTCACGTACTCACACTCACACGCAGGCAGACTCACACTGTGCACTCACGCAGACTGAAGACACATGTAGGCTCCCACACGTAGACTTGAGCACGTACGTGTAGACTTGTTTGTAGACTCACATGCATGTAAACTCACAAGTGTGCGGACACACAATGTAGACTCACAGGGAGACCTGCACATGTGTAGACACATGTGGACGCATGTGTAGGCTCACACATGTAAGTTTACAAGCACGTAGACGCGTGTAGAATCACATCATGCACTCACAGGGAGACTCGCACACATACACACATGCTCACACGTGTAGACTCAGTGTGCACTCACAGGGAGACTCTCGTGTGTATACACATGTACTCACACGTGTAGGCTCACATGTGGACCTAAACATGTAAATGCAGTGTGTATGTGTGGGTAGGCCCACACATGTGGATCTGAGCATGTAGGTGCAGTGTGTGTGTAGTGTAGGTCATACATGTGGACCTGCACAAGTGCACACTTGTGTGCTGACTTGCATACATGTAGCTCAATTACTGTAGATTTGTGTGTGCAGACTCCGTATAGGCTCACGTATATACACACATACTCATGTGTGTATTCAAAGATTCCCGTGTGTGTAGACGCACCTATGTACTTGCACACATGTGGACATCACATGTGGGCTCACATGCAGGCTCGCACATAGGCTTGCATGCGTGTGGACTGAGTCATACACTGGGTTCACACACTTTTAGGGTCATGTGCATAGTACTCACACACGTGTGGACACAGAGCTGTACGCCCGTCATCCCACCTGCTGTCCACCTCCAGCAGGGGCCCGCGTGACAGGGCACTGCACCCGCCTGCAGCCCAGAGCCCGCAGGACCCCACGCACGCACGACTGCGGGTCTCTGGCCAGCCCAGAGCCCAGTTCTGCAGACACTTCCCGCCTGGCCGCATTCCGGCCAGCACAGGGGGGGTGCCTGAGGGGTGTGCCAACACTAGCCGGACGGACGGAGGCAGAGGGCAGGCGCCCGCCCTTCTTGCCTCGTCCCTCCAGCAGGGCATGGCCAAAGCCGCCACCTCAACTTCCACGGCGTCTGAGTGCAGAGCGTGCCCCGACTCAGCAGAGTCCCCAGTGCTGCACGGACACGAGCAGCTCAGAAGTGACACCCCCAAGACAAGGCAAGGGAGGCTGGGGAGGGGCTGTCTGGGCCGGCTGGGGACTCGCACCGCAGAATCAGGGTCCTGCGGACAGCTGGGGGGAGGAGGCACAGAGGCCAAGGGGCGCCCACGGGAAGAAAGGCGGCGCCTAGGGTGGGCCACGCGGGACAAGCACGTGGACAGGGCAGAGAGGGCCCTGGCTCCGGCAAGCTGCGGGGGCACAGCCCACCAGCCCAGCCGCGCCAGCCGGGCAGCACCACCTCTGCAGACCCCCTCCGGGCCCACACCCTCGAGTACCCCCGCCCACCAGACCCCTTGGCACGGGGCGGGTGCGCAGAGCTCAGGCCCGCCCGCCCCGCACCGCCTGCACTCACGCTGCCCGCCGCGGGGTGGGGGTGGGCTCGGGGTCCCGCCTGCAGCTCGGGAAGGAGCCCCCAGCCCCCCTCGGGATCACGGGGCGGCGAGGCCGGTGCGGGGAGGCCCCCGGCCTTGCCCCGGGCGTGAGCGAGCGGGGCGGCGCGCCGGGCGGGGGCGGGGGGAGGGGGGGCGCCCGCACTCGGCCCCGGGCCAGGGACCCTCGCTCGGGGCCGGCTCGGGGCCGCGGGCGAGCGGCCACCCGCCCCCGGTGGGCCGCGGAGCCCCGCAGCGCCGGCCCGGGCCGCCCCGAACCCGGAGCCTCACCTGGGTCCGAGCGGGCCGCCGGCCGAGCTTTCCCGCCGCCGCCGAGGGCCCGCCCGGCCGCCCGCGCCGGCCAATGGCGGGGCGGCGCGCGCTGACGGACGGGCGCGGCGGCCAACCGCTGCGCGGGGGCGGGGCGGCGCCGACGGTTGCCAGGGACGCACGGGCCGCGGCGAACGGCTCCGGGCGCGCGCGGGGCCGCCGTTTCCCGGGCCCGCGGCCCTCGGAACCGGGCCCGGAGCGTTACCGGCGCGCTCGCCGGGGCCGCCCCCGCCCGCGGCCTCCGCGCCCGCCCCCGCCCCCGGCCGCGCCCCGAGCGCCCGCCGAGCCGGGCCGGGGCGGGGCGGGGCGGGGCGGCGCGGCGCGGGCGGCGCCTACAACTCCCAGGAGGCGCCGCGGCGCGCGGGGGCGGGCCCGGGCGCGGCGCGGCCTGCCATTGGCCGGGCCCGCGGGCGGCGGCGCGCCGCGATTGGCCGCGCGGCCTGAGGCCACCGGCGCCGGAAGGGGGAAGCGCGTCCAACATGGCGGCGGAGCAGGGCCCGGGCCCGCAACAGTCGCAGGAGATGATGGAGGGTGAGTGGCCGCCGCGCCCCGACCCGCCGCCCCCGCCGGCCGCGCGACCCCCGGCGCCCACCGCGGCGCCGCGAGCCCCCCCCGGACGGACGGACGGACGGACAGCCGGCCGGCCTGCCTGCGCGCCGGGGAGACTGAGGCACGGCCCGGGCCCGCCGGGCGCTCGACCCGCGCGTGCGCGTGCGCGTGTGAGTGTGTCCGTGTGGGAGAGTGCTGCGTGTGTGTGTCCGTCAGAGTGTGTATAAGTGTGTGTGACTGTGTCTGTCTGTCCGTGTGTGAGTGGGCATGTATGTCTGTGAGCGCGTGCATCTGCGCGTGTGGGTGTTCGTGCGTGTGTGCACGTGTGACTGCGTGTCTGTGTGTGTCCGTGTGTGTATGTGTCCATGAGTGCACATGTGCACGTCTTGTGCATGAATGTGTGCACATGTGTGTGCCTGAGTGTGTGCATGTGTGTCTGAGTGTGTGTGTGCGCATTGCGTGCCCATGTGTGTGTCATGTGTGTTTGAGTGTGTGTGCATGTGTGGGTATGTGGGTGGGTGTGCCTGTGTCTTTGTGTGCGTGTGCGCGCATGAGCGTGTGTCATGTGTGCTTGTGCATGTGTGGGTATGTGTGTCTGTGTGTGTGCCTGAGTGCGTGTGTGTGCATGTGGGCATGAGAGTGTGTGAGTGTGAGCATGTGCGTAAGTCTGTGTGTCTGAAGGTAAGTGTGTGCGTCTAGGAGACGTCTGAGTGTGTGTGAGTGTGTCGGAAGATGGGTGTGTGTCCGTGTCTGACTGTCCACTGGAGGGGTGTCTTTTCGGTGCTGGCGTGTGACTACGTGGGGGGCGGGGTGTCTTACGTGTATGTGTGTGAGTGCGTGGGGGGTGTGGCTGTCTGGGGGAGGGGTGTCTTCTGGGTGCCTGGGAGGCTCGCAGCTCAGCCGCACCCCACACCCGCCGGGAGGGTCACAGGACAAGGGGGTGACCGCAGCCCCTGGGGGTGGGCGGGAGAAGAGCTGAGGTGTTTCAGGAGCCGAGGGTGAGGGCAGAGTCGGGGGGTGGCGCCTGTGAGGTGACTGGAGCTCCCGCGGGGGCCGGCTCGCCCCCGACCACCGTGACTCTGCTGCCCTCCCTGATGGGCCCTGCCTGGTCCCTGGGGGAGAGGTCGAGGCCCAGGTTCCCCCATGGCCGTCCCTTGGTGCTGAGCTCTCGGCCCTGATCTGAGTGCCCGTTAGTGCTCCCTGCCGGGATGGAGTGGACTGCAGGACGCCCCCGGGGAGCTTCCTCCCCCTCGCACCCTCGCAGGCCAGTGAGCAGGAAGAGGGTCAGTGGCGACGGGTGTGCCAGGTGGCCCTGGTGGCTCCCGGTGTTGGGCAAGTGTCGGGAGAGCGAGGAGGCCCCGAACTGTTTCCCGTGGGGGAAGCACGGGCTGTTCTTGGGAGCACCGTCCCCGCAGCACCCCGCCTGCCGTCTGATGAGAGTCAGTCTCGATTTCTTTCAGAGCGTGGGCCTGTGAACTGGGCCGGTTTTCTTGGCCACGTGGAATAGTGGAGCATGGACGAAGGTATGTGGCAGAGTCAGTGGCCAGGGGGACCCGGGCCCAAAGCTCCTGTGACCAGAGTCCCAGGGCTCCCGGCAGCCCTGCGATTCCCGAGGCAGGAACCGCTTCTGCCCGCGGCTGGAGGTGCTCTGAGCCGAGTCCCCGCAGCCTGGCGGCTGACTCACTGCGCTGTGTTCAGTCGACAGGCGGATGGAGTCTGAGGAGTCCGGCGACGAGGAAGGGAAGAAGCAGAGCGGCCTTCTCGTGGCGGAGCTCAGCGAGCACAGCCTGAAGGATGGAGCGGGGCCCGGGGAGGAGGACCCGGAAGGTACCGCCACACGCACACCCCACTCAGGCGCAGACACGCACACACACACGCGCGCACACTCACACCCACACTCAGACTCAGACACATGCACACTCACGCCCACACTCAGACACACTCTCAGACTCATACCCACACTCAACTCACACACTCAGACACGTGCACACGCCCACACGCGCACAGTCACACTCAGCTCACACACACTCAGACTCACACCCACACTCAGCTCACACACACTCAGACTCACGCTTAGACTCACGCCCACACTCAAACGCACACCCACGCTCAGACTCAGACACGCGCACACACTACCACACTCACACCTACACTCAGACACACATGTGTATGCTCACACCCACACTTAGACTCAGACACACACACGTACACTCACATCTACACTCAGACACACATGCACACTCATGCACGCACACACACCAACACTCAACCTCACGCGCACACTCTCACCCACACTCAGACTCACGCTCAGACTCACACCCACACTCAACTCAAACACACACCCACACTCAGACTCACACATGCAGAGTCACACTCAGACTCACACCCACACTCACACCCACACTCAGACTCACCCACACTCACATTCATACACATTCAGATACACACATTAGACACACACACTCAAATTTATATACACGCGACCACTCACGCACTCAGACTCACACACATTCATACTCACACACTCAGATACACACACCCATATATACACACTCGAACTCATACATACACTCAGATTTATGCACACACTCAAACTCATACACACACTCAGACTCAGACTCACAACTACCCTCAGACTCACACTCACAGCCGCACTCAGTCACGCCGACTCCCGCTACACTTGGGTGGATGTGGCTCACTCAGCTGCCCTCCCCCTCACCCCCGCCCACTTCCTGAGGTGCCTGCAGGTGGCCCAGGCGGTAACCTGCTGCCCACGTGCAGAGTGAGGCTGGGGACGCGGGGCCTGACCACTGTGCTTCCTTCCCTTGGCCTCGAAGCCCCCGCCTCGCCCCGCCGGCCCGCTCCCCTCCCGATCTCCAGTGTCAGGACAGGCTTCCTGGGGGAGGCCCAGGGCCACCTGCCGTGGTGCCACCCAGACCCGCTTCGAAGAGGAGGGCTGGCCGTGCCCCGCCCTGCACCCACCAGCCGCCCAGCTGAGGTGGTTTTGGGCTTAGAAAATCAACTGGTGCTGAAACGAAATGAGAGAAAGGAGATGAGTGGACAGAAAAGTGTTCAAGATGTGCTATTAAGTGAAAAAAATTTTTTTCCAGGCATCATATATGTTAAAATCTTACTTTTTTTTTAATGTGGGGGCCACACCTAGCAATGCTCAGGGGTTACTCCTCCCTCTGCGCCCAGGAATCACCCCTGCAATCCTCGGGGGACCATAAGGGGCCAGAACCTGGGTCAGCTGCATGCAAGACAAACACCCCACCTGCTCTAGCACTCCGGCCCCTTTCGATTTTAAGTCACGTCGTTTTACTTGAGAGAGAAAATATGTCAAACTCCTAGAAGATCTCTCCTTTTTTTAAAATTTTTTTTTGTCAGACCCGGCGATGCTCAGGGGTTGCTCCTGGCTCTGCACTCAGGAATTTCTCCTGACAGTGCTTGGGGAACCCTGTGGGAGGCCGGGGATCGAACCCGGGTCGGCCACGTGCCAGGCAAACGCCCTCCCCGCCGTGCTATCGCTCCAGCCCCAGCAGAGGATCTCGTGGAACAATTTTCTAGAGTTCTAGCACGTGGCTTAGGCATTAGTAAACATGCCTGTTGGGCGAGAGTGAGGGCACAGTGGGGAGGGCATCTGCCCTGCCCCCAGCGGCCTGACTAGGGCTCTTTCCTAGTGCCTCACACGGTCTCGAGCCCACCCGAGTCACCCTGGAACTCAGAACCGGGAGTCAGCCCCCGAGCACCGCCGGGCGTGGCCTAAAAGACATCAGAAAAAGAAAATTATATATTATCCTAATAATAAGAACAAGTTAAAGTGATTTCTGAAGTCATAGCTCACTCCCCGCTCTGACAACGAGGAAGATTAGTAGCTATAGCAACAGCCTATTCTAAGGCAGAGGGGGCAGCGCCATCAGAGCCTGGAGTGGGCGGGCAGGTTGTGGGTGGCATGGGCCTGGCCCGGTGTCGGGCCGCCCCGCCCAGTGAGACTCACCTCAGACTCACCGAGGCCTCCCCAGATCCACCTCTGGCGGGATTCTAGCTCCTGGCAGGTGCCTGGGGGCAGCCGTGCTTCCTTCTGCCCCGTCCCCTTCTGCTCCTCCCCCGCTGCAGCCTGGGCACTGCCGGGCACCTTGTGTGGGCCCTGTGCACCAGCTAACTGAGGCCTGTGCCAGGTGGATCACAGACAGACCTCCAGGCCCGAGCTCAGGTCCGAGGGGCTCAGGGACCCGGGGCTGGAGGGAGGGTCTCGGGTTTGTCCGTTGGCTTTGCCCCGGCTGCTCCCTCGCCCCTTGGGGAGACCCTGCGTCTTTCTTGCTGCCCCTGTTGGAGCCTTGGCGAGGCCCAGTGGGCCCCCGCCCCACGCTGCTGACGCTCCCCGAGGCCCCCGGTGTCTGGGTCAGGCCACAGTGCAGGCTGGAGCCTGCTCTCCCCTGGCAGCAGCCCAGAGCGGGGGCTCCTCCGTGAGCAGGCCCTGAGAGAGCGAGGGTGGTGCCTCCCCCCAGCCCCCACGCCAGGCCCAGCTGTGGAGCAGGGCAGTCGGACACAGGGGCTCTGGGTGGGCCCCGCCTTCCCCTGAGGCAGCGGGCGGGCGGCCCCTCCTGCCCTTTGCACGGTGTTGGCTACTCAGGTTCCTCAGGAGAAGACCTGTCCCCATGCCCCCATGCCCCCGCCAGACCTGCCTGGACTCACAGGGTTGGCCGGTGGACAGCGTCGGGCGTGGACGCTCCGGGTGAGCGCAGCGTGAGTCCACTAAGTCCTCTGCCGGCCACCCCTCACACACCAGCTGGGGCGGGCTAAGCCCCCGCCCTGCCCCCTGCGGGGACTGGCCGCCCAGAACCGGGCTTTGAGTTGGCTTTTCTGGTCCTCCTTTTCCAGGACAGGAACTGCCAGTGGACATGGAGACCATTAACCTGGACAAAGATGCCGAGGTGAGGGCTCCCCCACCCCCACCCCGCGGCCATGAGCGCCTCCCCCACTGGGTCTGCACGCCAGGCTGGGCCCGTGGGGGGGACCGCCTGCCACACCCAGAGTGCAGCCCGCTCTGCAGAGGCCGCACCCATGCCCAGCCTCAGCTGCAGTCTCTCCCTTGGGCCCAACCCACACTGTGCAGGCTACAGAGATCTGGACCTCTTGGGCCCTAAGGGCGTCTCACAGCCCTGCACCTGGGCGGGGACGAGGACTCTGCCCCGGCCTCCAATGCACCTCAGCAGCCTGCCCGGGCCAGGAGGAGTGCTAGGCCAGGGCTCCGTCTGGGCTGGGCTGGGCTGGGCCGAGGGCTGGGCCCGGGCTCCGTGCGGCTCGGCAACCCTCTCCCTCTTCCAGGACGTGGACCTGAATCACTACCGCATTGGCAGGATCGAAGGGTTTGAGGTGCTGAAGAAGGTCAAGGTGAGCAGCTTGTGCCCTCCCTGGGCGTGTCCACCCCAGCCCCCGCCAGCAGGAACGTCCCCCCAGCAGCCCGGCAGAGTGGCGCAGTCTCTCGGGCAGTGCCGAGCAACGTGGACCCACTGCTGTCCCGGGGCCCCGCTGTCCACCCTCCAAGCCACCGGGGGTCAGGAAGCAGCCACGGGCAGGGCCACCCGCAGACCCCTCCTTGGCCCGCCCCACCCAACCCTGCTGCTGATGGCGCCCTGTCCCGCAGACGCTCTGCCTCCGTCAGAATCTCATCAAATGCATCGAGAACCTGGAGGAGCTGCAGAGTCTGCGAGAGCTGGACCTTTACGACAACCAGATCCGGAAGATGGAGAACCTGGAGGCGCTGACGGAGCTGGAGTGAGTCCGCCGGGGACCCATCCCCGCCCAGGGCCCGCGCCAGGGCTCACCCCCACTCCGGGTCCGCCGCCCAGCCCAGCTGCCTGCCCTGGCGAGTCAGCTTCTGGGTCTCGGGGGCTTAAGCGTGTCAGGAAGCAAATTTTTCCGTGTTCCTAGGATTCTAGATATTTCTTTTAACCTGCTAAGAAGTATCGAGGGGCTTGACAAGTTGACGAGGCTGAAGAAGCTCTTCCTGGTCAACAACAAAATCACCAAGATCGAGAACATCAGCAACCTGCAGCAGCTGCAGATGCTGGAGCTGGGCTCCAACCGCATCCGGGTAGGCGCCGCCCGCCCTGCCCAGTCCCCCGCCGACCCTGCGCTTGCCTGCTGACCCCGCGGGGCACCCCGACCTGCACCGCCCTCCACTTGCTGACCCCACGTCACCCCAGGTGACCCGTGCTGGCCCTTTCTGGCACTGACCCCGTAGTGTTCCCATGCTGACCCCACAGTCCCCCACGCTGACCCCACACTGTCCCCGTGCTGACCCCGCACTGACCCCATGCGGTCCCCTCTGCTGACCCCACACAGTTCCTACGCTGACCCTGCTGACCCCACTGATCTGCACTGACCCTGCCCCGTCCCCGCACTGACCCCACTGACCGGTGCGGACCCACACTGTCCCCACACTGACTGCGCTGACCCTGGCCTGTCCCCACGCTGACCCTGGCCCCTCCCTCGGCACCAAGGCTGAGGGCAGCCTCCTCGGACTGTCCTGCTCAGCACAGCCACCTGCGCTGCCAAACTGGTACAGGCGGCCCGGGGCTCGCCTCAGCCCGCGGGCAGAAGCCATCGGCCAGCTGCCCCTCGCAGCTCCCGACTGCACCTTCCCCAGGGTGTGTGCCCCACTTGGTGCTGTGCAGACACACATGCACACAGCACACGCATGCATGTGCACACGCGCGCATACAAGCACATACACAAGCACGCACACACACAGCACCGCCGCCTCCCCCCCACCACACTCTCCAACGCGCCATTCTTCCACAGGCCATTGAAAACATTGATGCACTGACCAACCTGGAGAGCTTGTTTTTGGGGAAAAACAAGATCACGAAACTCCAAAATCTCGATGCACTCACCAACCTGACCGTCCTCAGCATGCAGGTAGAGGCGCGCCGGCCCGACCCCTGGCCCCTGGCCCCTGGCCCAGCCCCCGCCGGACCCCGGCCTCGCTGTTCTCTCAGCTGCCCACATCCACGTTGCCGGTGTGCTGTCCTGGCACGTGTCCCACAGAGTCTCTTTTCTCGTCTTTGCCCCTGACCTGTGTTATCGGGGCTCTCTGGCACGTTGCTCGGGGGGACACGTGGTGTTGGGAGCTGCCCTGTGAGCCCCTCCCAGCCGCCTGAGCCCACCCTTCAGAGACCCTTCCCATCCTCCGGGGGACATCCAGGTGCCGGGTCTTTGCCGAGGCTCCTCCCGCAGACGCGTTGCTCCGGCCCGGTGCCGTCCTACACAGCCCAGCTCTGGGGGGCGTCCTCCCCTGTGCCCAGAGGGGCGCCCGCATCGCCAGGAGCAGGGCCGGGCGCAAGCTGTGGCCAGCGTCCCTCCCACGGTTGCGGAAGCCGTGACCCGGGACACCTGGCAGCTCCGGGAGGGACTGGCACCCCCGGACCCACGGGGGTCTGAGGGCCAGGGCCTTGCCTCCGCGCCCCTCACCCGCCCCGTGACTCTCTGCGCAGAGCAACCGGCTGACCAAGATCGAGGGCCTCCAGAGCCTGGTGAACCTGCGGGAGCTCTACCTCAGCCACAACGGCATCGAGGTCATCGAGGGCCTGGAGAGCAACGTGAGCCCGGGAGGGAGGGCAGCGGGGGCGGGCCCCTCCGCCAGGCCGGCAGGCGTGAACAGGAGCGGAGCCGGCCTTCGCCGAGCACGCGCGGGGTGGGGAGTGTCTCCCCGGCCCTGCTCCGACCCCCTCGCCACAGTGAGGCACGTGCACTCCCCCACGCCCACACACGCTGTACACACATGCACACACCTCACACACCCACACACATGCCCATGCAAACCCACGCACGCGTCCTCACACGCCCACACATAGTGCCTGTACACACACACGCACTCCGCACACACCCACCCACACACAAGCCTGTGCATACACACGCACACACCCACACATACGAACACACGTGGCACATACCCTCACCCACACAGATGTGCTCTTGCACACGCATACGCACCCACACACGTGCCCATACACACACACACCCTCAAATGTCCCCACTCGCATGCCCACACAAGCATGCCCAGACACACACACACACACACTCACATGCCAGCGTACTCCCGTACACATGTACTCACACACAGGCAAGCACACACGCATCCACACACTCCTGTGCCGACACACGAGTCACGCTCCGTGCGCGTATGGACACACGCTCCCCTACACTTACGGACCCCCCAGGGCTGCGGTGTTGCTTGGGGCACGCGTGGTCTTCCCGTCCTGTCCCCCCACATCCCTGTGGCTGAGGGACCAGCGTGCGAGCCCCCTCCCGGGAAACCGGAGGTGAGCTTGAGCGACTTCTGGACCGTGCTGGGCCTTTGTGCAGGGCTGGCTGGGGCTGGGGGCTGTTCCCGCACACCCCTGGCCGTGCCCCCGACTCCCGCGGCTTCTGCGGCTCTCTGGGGTGTGGTTGGCCGTTGGTGCTCGGACACGGGAGCAGCAGTTTGCAGTTTGCACTGTGTCTTCCTGAGATGCCTCCATTTTCCCTAGACCCTGGGGGCCGGGGTCGGAGCCCAGGTGCCTGCAGATGGGCCTGGGGGCCTCGTCAGAGGAGGGAGAGATGGAGCTGTGATGGAGTTTTGCGGAGGGGACTGACTCCTGGCTCTGTGCTCAGGGATCCCTCCTGGCTCTGTGCTCAGGGGCCGCGTGGGGTGCGGAGGTCGAGCCCAGCACCCTCCCCTGTACTCTTGCTCTGGTTCCTTGTTTCAGAACAAGCTCACGATGCTGGACATCGCGGCAAACAGAATCAAGAAGATCGAGAATATTGGCCACCTGACGGAGCTGCAGGAGTTCTGGGTGAGTGGTGCCAGGCCGGGCCAGGGGGCTGGAGTGGGCGCTTGGGGCCTGCCACGCCCCGTCTGTACCTGTGCCCCCCTTAGTGTGCGGGGCGGCCCGTCCCTGGCCTGCCTCTTGGTCTCCGTCGTGTGCCTGGTTTGGTGGGCAGCGTCGCGTCCTCTGGGCGGTGGGGCGGACCCTCGCCGGGCGCACACGTCTGACCCAGGAGTCGGCTCAGCATGGATGGCCGCACCCAGGAAGGGGTCCTGGTGGGGGCCGGGGGCACACGGGCCTCCGAGGGACGTGGCTGTGCAGGTCCAGGAGGCTCCGGTTCCTCCTGAAGTCCTGCAGGGCAGTGCCATGGACACGGGCTGCTGAAGCTCAGGGGCGGGATCGGCCTGCAGAGGTTCCCGCCCGGACTGGGCAGGTCCGGCCATTGCCCTGGGAAGCAGCAGGGCTACGAGGGACGGGCATCTTCCTGCTGCGTCCACACGGGACAGAGCCCAGCACCTCAGACGAGAACCAGAGACCCCCGTCTAGGGAGGCGGCTTGGTGGGAAGCCCAGGGGGACAGGGCAGCACCGCGGGCCTGACAGCCACTGCCTGCCCACCCAAAGGGCACCTGTGCCAACGCCCTCCCGGGACCCTGCCCACTGCTCTCCCTGCCCCTCCGCAGGCTCTCTGGGAAGGTCCCCGACCTCTTCCAGCCACAGCCGGGGGTTCATTCCTGGGTTTGATTTTTCCGTTTGGGGGCCGCGCTCGGTGGTGCTCCAGGACCACTCACGGTGGGGCTTGGGGACCACGTGAGGTGCCAGGTTGCACCTGGGCCAGCCACGCGCAAGGCGAGAGGCAGCAAGGCGCAGGCGTGGTGGCACGGGGCCCCGGAATGTTCCCCGAGAACCCCGTGCCTGCTCCCTACAGCGGGTGACCGCGTGGCGGGCAGGGTGTGGGCCCGCTGGGACCCCCCAGCACCACCCAGAGTGAGCCCGCAGCATTCGCTGGCCAGCGGGCGAGATGGACACCCTAAGAGGGGGGCCTCTGAGCTCACACTGGACGTCCTCCTCCTGCCATGGTGCCAGCAGTCACCGGCCAGGCCCTGAGCAGTGGAGCCCTCTGGGGCTCCCACTGTCCACTGCACAGTCTCAAGGACTGGTCAGTTGGGCACAAAGTCCACCCCAACCACATGGCCACAGGCTCGGAAGTCAGAGACCCGTCAGGATGGGCCTGAGCCTGCCTGTGCCGCTGCCCGTGGTGACCACCCACGAGACCCCTGCCCCCGAGCTCCTGGCCCTGCTCCCTGGCCCCGGGGTGGCCGCAGAGCCCAGCACAGGCAGGGTGCACCCTCAGCCGTCAGGACGCACTGTCCGGCTCTGCAACTCGCCTCTTCTCCTGCAGACAGCCGGCCTCGTGGGCGGCAGAGACCACCCTGTGTGCTGCTTGTGGCCCAGCCATCGGGGGCTTCGTGGGAAGGCGGATGCAGACGGCCAGGCGGGGGCGGGCGCGGGGCACCGACACGGGGTCTGGTGCCTGCTCACGCGACTCTCTTCTCAGATGAACGACAACCTCCTGGAGAGCTGGAGCGACCTGGACGAGCTGAAGGGGGCGCGCGGCCTGGAGACCGTGTACCTGGAGCGCAACCCCCTGCAGAAGGACCCCCAGTACCGCCGCAAGGTCATGCTGGCGCTGCCCACCGTGCGGCAGATCGACGCCACCTTTGTCAGGTTCTAAGTGCGCCCTTGCCCGCTCCCTCTCCAGAGAACTTCCCGGCCGCGGGCCCCGCCCGCCCGTGCTCCTGGCTGGCCAGCCGCTCTCAGCCGTCACAAATCCACTGCAATAAAGGCGCCGAGTGACCCTGCGTGTGTGGGCCCCTCAGCGCCCTGGCCTCTGGCAGCCGGCCGGCCTGCCACACACTGCCCTGTGTCCGCTGCCGTGAGCCCTTGGGGACGGGCGGGGGGCTCCTGGGGGCACCGGCCAAGACTCCGACTCGGCACATCCTGCTCCTTGGTAGAACCGAGACGAGGAGAAAGTAAAAACTGCGGGAAGGGCGATCGATGGCCGCCAGCCCACCCCCCTCGGGAACAGCCGCCCCAGGGCCATGGGGCTCGGACTGACAGCACCTCTGGCAGTGGGGCCCGCGCTGGTGCCCCTGCAGGACACCACGGACACTGGCCCGGTGCGGGTGCGCGCCACCTTGGCCTCTCCGGCCGTGGGGATCTGCACTGAGGTGAGGCGGAGTGCCCCTCGCGGCCCCCAGAGTCGGGGCAGCCGTGAGCCGGGCAGGATCCCCCGCCTCGCCGGGAGCCTCTGGGGCGGGCACGAGTCTACAGGAGGGAGTCGGGCCGGGGCACACAGCCGACACCTCCTCCTTGCACTGGGTTCCCCACTTCTGCCCCGTCTCCAGGGCCCTCTCCTCTGTGAACCCTGGCTTTGTGTCCCACACCTGTGTGTGTGCACTTGGGCGCACACACACGGCCCAGTCCTTACCCTGCAGTGCACGTACACACACACACACGCCCCAGTCCTTACCCTGCAGTCTGCGTGCACACACACGTCTGCTCCCCAGCTCTCTCCCTGCAGTGCTCTCCTCGCCTGGGCTGTTGGGAGGGGACGGTGGCCGCCAAGGCTCTGGCCGCTGGTGCAGGCCCTGCGCCTGGGGAGGGCCTGGCTGTAGCAGGCAGCGAGGGCTCCGCAGCACCCCCCGGGGCCCCCAGAGCTGGGGTGCCCTGCTTCCCGCTGCCGTCCCTCCCCAGGCACAAGGCACGCTGTTCTAGAACAGTCTGAGCGAGCCCAGCGGCAGCCCGCCCCTCTCTGGGCGCAAGTGGGCAGTTCTGTGCTTGTGCAGCTGCAGTTGGGAGGAACCTTTCTGGTTTTGTTTTCTGCTTGGTTGGATGTTTCTGACCTTTCCTGTCACCCTGAGGGCAGCCGCGGTGGAGCACAGGCCTGAGAGCAAACAGAAAAGTGGCAGTGCCAAGGAGGCTGTCAGGCCCACCCCCAGCGTGGAGGGCACTGCATGTCCCCCTGGGCGTCAATACCCGGGTGCCTCTCTCGGTCCCTGCTCCGGCTGCTGGGCCAGGGCTGGAGCGTGAGGGAGGCCGCGTCCCCTTAGCACCAGGCGTCTCCTGGCCTGTTGGTGGTAGCCCCAGGGCAGCCTGAGAATCGAGAGTGATCGTCAAATAAAGCTGGGGCGGCTCAAGTCGTTTCCGCCCCTCATTTGAGCAGTTTGGACATTTCCTGGGAGTGGGCCTGGGGGGCACCTGGGCACTGGCCCTCCCCTCCGGCTGTGGGAGATGGGTGCAGCACAGGAGCCTGCCCAGGCAGGAAGGGGGTCGGACTCAATGCAGGGCAGTGAGGGTGCACAGGGTGCTGGCAGGGCCGGGGACAGCCCCTCCCAAATCTTCCCATCCAGGAGGGCGTCGTCAGCAGCAGCTGTGCCCATGACACTCCCAGTGGCGGCCCGAGGTCTGGGGCTCAGCCTGGCTGGCACTGCCCAGAGCTGGTCTCTGCAAGGGCCCCTGTGGTTGGGAGTCTCCCGTCCAACACCCTATGGGGCTGGCAGAAAGGGGGTCACCACGCCCCCTCCTAGTCCCTCCAGCTGTCCTCTCACAGAGGGACTCGGGCTGGAGTGGGCACGGTCAGGCCAGGAGGCCCAAGAGGAATCGTAAGTGCAGAGTCAGCTGTACGGGGGCTGATCTGGAAGAGGAGCCTCAGGGTCGCAGGGGACAGACGGGTAGACCCCGCTGGACAGATGGCAGCTCAGCTGGGTCTCCCAGGAGCAGGATGCACGGGCAGCCCGGGAGGACTGCAGTGGACGTGGACATGGAGCAGGGGGACTCGTACGGGAGGTAAGGGCCCTTCTGAGCGGGCACCTGAGCAGCACGGGTGGGGGCGGGAGGGCAGCAGCCACCGAGTCCCCCGGTGTGCCTGGTCCTGGGAGGCTGCTGGCCTCGTCCACCAGCACTCAGTGCCATCTCGAGGGCTGGACACAGGGTGGGCCCACCTGCATGCTGCAGGTGCCTCCCGGAAGGGACAGGTCAGGATGGGTCAGGGTCAGACCCGGGGCTGGGCAGGGTCAGGGGTGTGCCAGGAAAGGGTCCGGAACACTGCGGAGGGGCTGGGGCAGGTCCCAGGGCCGCCTCGTGGGGCCACAGACGCCCACCCATCTAGGCATCTAGGAACTCAGGGGTTCTGTCCCCTGACCAGCGCCTCTTCAGAGCCCCGTGGGCTGGTGATGTTGACCCTGCAGATCACAGAGCCGCCCCACCCCACGCCTGTCCCAGAGCTGGCCCTCACCCACCCACGGCCCCCTCAGCCACCCCACGGGCCCCAGTGCCTGAAGCCTCAGGTGGGGCGGGGTGAGGGGGCACACCGTGGCTGACACTGTCTCTCTCTGTACCCCACAGGGGTGGGGGCGGGCCACGGTGGCCAGTGCCGTCTGTCCATGCCTCCCCCAAACAGGCGGACAGCCCGGCCGTCTGCTAGCTATGCTCTGGGGAGCACGGGGACCCCTGGGGCTGGACAGCGCGCCAGGCCTGCTGTGCCCCCGGCCCACGCAGTCTCCCGTGCGTGTGTGCGTGTGTCCTTTCCTTCGTGTGTGCCACACCCGGAGCCACACCTGGCGGGCCTCGGGAACACGAGGTGGGGCCCGGGTTCCAGCCTGGGTCCGCCCTGTGCAAGGCAAGCGCCCTGCCCACGGTGCTCTCTGGCCCTTTCTTCTCTCTGGCCTCTTCCCTCTGCCGCCGTCACTGCCTGTGGCCGCCGGCGGCCCTCGGGCTCGCCCACGCGGTCACTGATCCGGGTCACACCTAAGGGCTGGGACCGGGGAGGACCCTGAGGCCTCAGCGTCCCGCGCCGTCCGCGGAGAGGGGAGTCCCGGGAGTGGGCGGGGCTTACAGACGGCCTCCCGGTGGGCGTGGCTTCAGGACACCGCTGGGAGGGCGTGGTTCCCAGCTCTTCCGGGGTGGGCGTGGCTCCTGGACTTTCGGGTGAGCGGGGCTTCCAGCGCATCCGGGGCGGGGCTTCCGGGTGGTCCCGAGTGGGCGTGGCTTGCTGATCTTTTTTAGGTGGGTGGGGCTTCCGTTGCATCGGGGCGGGCCTCCAGTATGCTGGGGGCGTGGCTTCCGGGTGGCCTCTGAGTGGGCGTGGCTTCCGGGCCTTCTGGGTGGGCGGGGCTTCCAGTGCGTTGGGGCGTGGCTTCCGGGCGGCCTCCGAGTGGGCGTGGCTTCCGGGCATCCTTGCACGGGGCCTGGGCGGATAGAGGCTTTGCTGGACTGTTTGCTGATGCTGTTCCTTGACCGGCCTCCGGGTGGACCTCACCTTCTGCAGCGGGAGTCCGGCAGGGCACCGGTTCCTGCTTGCCCAGTGCTGCCCCTTTGTGGAAAGCCGGCAGATGACGTGGGCCTGTGCTCAGGACCCCTGGGCCTCGGTGTCCGTCTCACCCACTGCAGCGGCTCCTGACTTCGTGACTCGCGTTGGCCGCACCGCGGGAGACGGGCGTGCACGTGTGGCCAGTGCGGTGCGAGGGCAGCAGCCCTGATGGCCTTTTTTTGTTTGGTGGGTTTGTGGCCACCCCCTGGCTCAGGATTACTCCTGGTGGGCTCTGGGGACCCTCTGTGGTGCGGGGGGCGGGGGCAGGGGTGGGCCTCGTGCAAGCCCAGCACTGTCCCTCTGTCCTGTCTCTCCTGCCAGCCCTGATTCTTTTCGGTCCTTCGCACACCCGGGTCACTTTCTGCTCGACTGCTTCCTCCCTCTGGAGCTCTGGGCGCCTCGTTTTTGGCCCGTTGACTCCTGCTTTGGGATGTGGCCGTTGACCCGGCCCGCAGCCAGCTCCCCTGCCTGTGCGGGTCCCTGCCTAGGAGCCTCGGCCATCCTCCCAGGCCCTCTCGGGCACCCGCCAGCCGCTGGCTGTGGGCAGGCACCTTCCCCATGGCAACACCCCAGTGGCCAAGAGGTAGCAGCTTCTGCCGCTTTGTCTTTGCCTTCGTGGGCTGCAGAGTTGCATGTGGGGATCCTTCAGCCTCCACCAAGCTCCTGCCCTCTGCTCCCCAGCCATCGGGCTTCCCCTGGCGCCTCTTCTGTCCCCTGTGCTCCCCGAGAATGTCCTCTGATGCTCTGGTCTCAGCCACTCCTGACTCTCCCCTCAGTGCTCACCACTCACCGCCACCCTTCACTGGGGACCCCTGACCTTGCTCTGAGGGCCATGCCTGGGAGCCGAACCCCCAGCTGGGACCCCCCGGCTGGGTTTTGATGCTGGGATGAACCTGCCCGGCGCTGAGCTGGTTCCGAAGGTGCTGGTGTCGTTCAGCGGGGTCCCCTCACTCCTCGGAGCCCCCGGAGGTGCCCTGCCCCCTTCCCCACAGCTGTCTGTGTGAGTGGACAGGAGCCACAGGCCGGCCCGGCTTCCAACCCACAAGGCCCCTGCTTCTGGCAGGAGGTGGAGCAGCGACCTGCGACCTGCCCTGCGGGCAGTGTGCGGGGAGGTGAGTCTGCGGGGGCTTGCAGGCACGGGTGGGAGGCCTCATTTCCTCACGAGGCGTCATGGGACGGGGGTGAGAGGGGACGGACGCAAAGGCTTGGCCAGGCCTGGCCCAGGTCCTCCACCCTCTGTGTCCCCGTGGCCAACAGACTTTGTGCTCGTCTGGGAGGACTCTGGCCAGCAGGACGGCCTGGCCAGGACCCAGGCCAGCACCCATGGGGCCTGGCGGGAGACTTTTCTAGCAAACCTGTGCACAGCGGGGCTGTGTGTGCCAGAGGCCAGGACCGCCTGTCTGGCCCCAGGCTGGAGCAAGCCCAGCTCAGCTGGACGAGAAGCACACAGGGGTCCCCGTCCCCCACTGGGTGGCCGTGTGTCCCTGTGCC